TTTGTTACTCATTTTTACCACTAAAAAGTACGAATTTCAAAAAAGTGCCAGACACCCATCTCATTTTAAGAGTAGATACAGGTGCATTTTTTGTATCACTATTATTATGTAAGATAAGTAAGAAAACCATTTCCAAAAATCCCTCCTTAGTGGATCTACATAACCAAAAACACATACACTGTTAAAATTTCATGACTCTATGTTCAGCCGTTTGGTCTGTGCGATGATGAATCAGTCAGTCAGTAACGCGACTCTTTTATATATATAGACTTACTTAAATTTTTTTAATAAAAAATTGCTCGATATTTGGAATTTTGATTCGGGAACGAAATAAAAAAAAATCCAAAGCATGCCATTATTTAAGGTTAATACAAATATGTATGTTCGATTTTCTTATTCAATGACTCTTCCTACCATCTCAAGATCTCAATAAATAGTCAAAGCGATTTTTGCAAAATTTCCCATAATAAATTTGCATTTAAACCCTTTATTTCCAATAATACCAAGAGGCAAAACTTTGAGCAAAAATTAGTCGTCAAGGAATTGTTTCCTTCGCAGTGAAATTATCAAAAACAGAAAACTTTTTTGAATCAACATTTTCAATTTTTTATATAATTTTATAATCAATTCAATTCACGAAATCAATTTTCCCTTCGAAGAGAATGAAAATTTAAAGAGAACACAAATTTGTCTTCTATTGGTGAATATTTCTTATTTTAGTTTTTTAATTATTTATGTAACTACTGTCCAAAATTATTCTGTTTATCTATATTGCTCCACTAGAGTAATTTTATGTTATTAAAAAGATTTTTCATTTCTTCAAAAACAAAATAGGTAAAACGCGCTGATTCAGCGCCTTTCCCGAAAAAAGCGCTAAAAGTAAAAAAATGCGACTTTTGTGTTGTTAAAAGGCTCTAAATCTAGCGCCAAAAGCGCTAAATTGGCAACGCTGCATACAAGCTAGCTATGCTTTTGAATAGTGAATAAGAGCATACATGTTTGATATGCGCATTGAATATACGTATTGATCGATCATTGCGAATACGTACATGAAGATACTCAACATGAAACTTGTGTGGACATAAATTGTAATCAAAAATTGTGAGTAAATAGTTGTGTTACTTGTTTCATACATACTCATTGTCAATCTCTGGACCTCCGGTCTACCAGTCGGAACTTTTTGGAAATTTTTTGTTCTTTAATTGATACTTTTTGAATTTTATGTTTTATTGAACATATAAAAATAAAATTTAACATGCAGAGTCCTAAATGAATGATAATCTGTAAGAAGTACATTTTTATTATTCAATGATTTTTCTATAATATTGAACTAAAATTAAGCACGAAGCATCTTAAGTGAATGAGAATCTAAAAAGGAAACTTTTTATTACTTTTTTATCGTTGTTTAACTGATAATTTTGAGCCTAGAAACTAAAAATCAAGAACGTAGGGTCCTGATTGAATGAGAGACCTTTTTGATTGGTTTGGTTGTTCAATTGGTACTTTTCTCAATTTTCGATAAAATTGAGCCTAGAGATTCTATAGGTATAATATAGAAACATAAACTTGAAAACACACATCGTGCTTATTGAATTATAACATATAAAAGAGAACGTTTGGCTACATTTTCGTTCATCAATTGGTATCTTTTAGACAAATTATTGAACTTAAAAACATAAAATTAAATAAACAAGGTTCTAAAAATCTGTAAGATATTTATTTTTTGAATTTTCTATAATATAGAACCAATGAACATGGAAGTAAAACTACACAGTCTGACAATCTATAAGAGATAATTTTTTTGTACTTTTTCTTTCATAAAATTGTTGATCCTTTTATACTTTTGTAATCTAAATTTTATTTTAATTTAACTTCGGATATGGTAGCGAAGCACCCGGGGTATGCTAGTTTTCTTCATATTTTTCATAAAAAATTGCTCAGTACATTTTGACAACAAATTTGAATTTTGTATTAAAGACAATGAAACTCTGATATTAATACAAAGTATTGTATTGTAAAACCCCTTTAAAAGTGTATTATTTCCCAATTTTGACAAGATGCGTTTCTTCGTATTTTCAATTCCTCATTCTAATGTAGTTAGTACATGTTTAATTTGTGGAGGAAGGAACGAAATAAACTTTTATTTGAAAATTTGGAAATTTTATAAATTTAGATATACAAATGAAAAAATAAAACTCCTTTATCTTAACATAAGTAAATTTAATACTTTGAGTAATTTGAATATTTTTCTATTCCATATGTAAACCTTGATCCCTACACTATTTTTAAAAATATTCTAGAGAAGAAAATGTTTAATGTAAATTGAAAAGAATACTCCCATTAATTTGCTATTAGAGTGTTCAAAAAAATTTTATATGGGCTTTTAACATAATTACATACATATTATACAAAATAAATACATTGGGTAAATGCAAAACTATTTTTCCTCATAATTAATGCTTATACAAGCAAAGTTACAAAAAAAAAAAAAATATATAATTCATTCTCAATTTAATAAAAATAACTTACTCTGTTCAACAGGTTCTCAATTTCATAAAAAACAATTTCCTCCGTTAAAATGTTCTCATTCCTCATTAAAAACAACTATTGCCTCCTCATTTAATTTTCCTCCATTTCTACGCTACTGCTACCGCTTCACAGTGGGACATTTTTGTCATTTTCTGATCATAAATCTGTAACATTTCATCTGTTAGAGATAAATGCCTAAAATTTTACAACAATAATTTTTACAATATTTCTGATAATATATATTAATATTAAAATTCAATGGTTGCATGGTAATATATGTTTAAAATTAAATATTTTTATTGCAACAGTTTGAACAAAACTTTTGTTGTAATATTTCTTATCGAATATAATGAATTAATATACAATTGATATTATTAACCACTCATAAAGAAATAAGTTTTGTCTAAATATAATTTATACATGTAAATGAATAGTGAATAAATAAAAACCTACCATTACCCAGCAAACACTTATATTGAAAAGTAATGAGTTTAAAGCTAAAAAAATCCCGTTTTTACTACTTATTCATTAGCATTTTAAATCATTACCTTAACACGGTCATAACATTGGAGGGTAGTACTTACCACGCTCTCTTTCAAATCACTACTTATATAAGTACTTATAAATAATGAGTTAAAAAGTTGTTTTGTTTTAAAAGAAAATAAAAATTTTCACACAGAAAAAGGGCTTCTTGTTTATTAATTCGCTGTTATTTTATTGTGCGTCCAATAATGAGTTTCGCAGAAAACAATTAAAAAAAATGTGCAAATAGAACCGCAAAATTCAAAATAAAGTTCTTAATTATCTGATTATATGATAGGTAATCGATAAACGAAAACAAAATTTGATAATGCGATAAAATCGATTACTCGGTTTTCAAGTTATTCGCTATTGGCAGATGTGCCCCTATGGAAAATTATCCCCGTTCTACTCTAAGTCATTATAAGAGTAATTAAAAGTAATGCAGGCGGTAAGTACTAGTCATTGATAAGCATTACCGAATTATTGCTGGGTATGTATACTTTTTTAAATTTGGTAGAGAGATTTTGGTTCGTATAAAACTTGTTTATGTGAAATTTCAAAGTTATATTGGTATATATAAACCAGTTATCACTGCTAAAACTGTTGTCCGCGGAGGCACTTGTGTGAGAGCTATGAGAAAACGTGGATATTGCACATTTGCATACCAAACAAACATTCTCTTGAATTGGCTTTATAAAATGGGACTTAAATACCATAGATACCGATATATAAAAGACAATATATAATAAATTTTAAAAATAAATTTGTTAATTTTAAAGAGTTTTCATTTCCCCTGACTGCAGCTGCAAACCGTCGCAAATTTAATTCATTCAATTTAATATACAATACATTAAGCTTTCATTTTATATTAATTTTAAAGGGGAGGCAATGGAAGCTTAAAACGTATACTCCACTAAAAACTTAATACCTTATAAATAGAAAATATGCAAATATTAAAAGCAGTTTAAAATATTATTTAAAGATTATAACTAAATAAATATCTAAACAAAATACCCCAGGAAAAACTTACATTGAAAATAAATGAGTTAAAAAGCTAATAAAACCTCTTTTCACTACTTCTTCATTAGCATTTTAAGTCATTATTTTAACACGGTGATGTCATTGGAGGCAAGTACTTCCACACTTGCTTACAAATAGGGAGTTAAAGAAGTACTTGCAATTTCTCTTACAAAGAAGTTGTTTAGTAAGTTGTTTTATTTTTTAATAATAAAAAGGAGCCAGCTAGAACACGAACCAGGGACTTCGGTTTGTTAGTCAAATGTTCTACTCATTGCACCACTGCTTAGCTATTTTATTGCGCGTCAAATAATGGCTTTCACATAATTTATTTTTGTTTACTTTTTTGTAAAACACAATTCTTAAGTCGCAATGAAATAAAATGTGCAAACAAAATGACAAAGCCGAAAATAAAGTACTTCGATATCAGATTATAAGAAAGTCATTGAAAAGTAAGTAATTATTGAAGTACAACCCATTACCGAGTTTTTGCTGGTACTCTATCTAATATTAATTAAAATATTTTCGGATAAATGCCACACAATCGAAAATAATGACCTTAAATATGGCAATTTTAAAGTATATAAATATTGTATTTGAAATCCTTAACATTTGATCAATATTTTAGGATAGTTATACCAGTTGTATTTCTCCAATATTTTTATATTGTATTATCCAATATCTTAGCTACTATGAAAAAAAAAAAAAATGATCTCAAAATTTAACACAAAAACACCACCGCTGTCGTCTCTAGTGGTTCATTTGGTGCGTCTAAATTTTTATTTTGAATAGTGCTCTGTAGCATTTAAGCAGAACACTGTTAATGTTGATGGTTTGTATCTCAGATAATAAATTTCTAAATTCAACTTCACACACATTAATTTTATCAGTATTAAAATAAACATAACTAGTATTTATTGTTTATCTTTCAGAAGACAACTCTAGTAATACACAATCTGATGTAGTTCAGTTCGATGACATCAATGACAAATCTATAAAAAATGCTCGTGAAAAAACTCCAATGTGTCTCATCAATGATTTAGCAAGATTTAACAAAGTAAGTAATCATCATGAAACTAATATTTTTATTAATTTGAGAGTTATAAGCACGAATTTTTTCCTCTACGCTGAACAGTGGGTTCGATGGCACCTAAAATGGCGATTAATTCAGGGGAGTCTTAGTTTTAGCATATTTAAACGTTTTTGGTCGAATCATTAAAAAATACATAAAAAAGCATATTTTTAAAAAGAAATACATATAATTTTTTTAATTTTAAACTCATTTTTATTATTCGGAAAATTATAGCATATTTCAGAAATTTGTCTGTAACTATAAAACGGAAACTGATACATATTTTCATAAATTAAGTTGCATACGAAAGCGTACACTATATTTTATATAGTACTTAAAAAATAATTTAACATTTTGTACACATATAGACATAAATTTAATTTAAACTTCGAATTTTGGTTTTGAAGAATTTCAGCAATTTTACAACTTTTTAGGAAAAAGTCACGAAATAAATTTTTATAATTTTTCTGTTTTGCATATTTTTGAAAATTTACGGAATTTAGTCTTAATATACCAACATTGAAGTAAAATGCTATAGATTTATAAATCGAATTTTAAATTACAATATATATTATATCTCCTTAAAAGCATAAGTTGTAGATATAAATATACATACATTCATATTACTCTATAACTCATTTTAACTATGATTTTAACAACAATGATATACATGACCATAGCAGAACAAAATACACAGTACTCTATTATATGGTTAAAAATAAAATTTTTCAAGACAAAAATGGAGCAGCAAAACCGCAAACTTTTCTTTTTATATTTTTCAGGACAAAAATGGAGCAGCAAAACCGCAAACTTTTTTTACTTTTCGAAAATCTTAGATTCTAAAGCTATGTATGTATACACGGTTTTTAGATCTTCCAACGTTGGCAGACAAATTTTCAGAAAATGTCTAACAACCGTGTCACAGTGCTTTGTCCCATAGGCAAAATTCTTTTTTTTTTGTATGGAGAATATTGATGAATGTTATATATTTGGAGAGCCAGTAAAATGTCCTATCTGAATAAGCAAGAAACAAATTAAATTTGCTATTTTTAAGATCACTAGAGGACGCTGAAGTCGAAAGAAATTTAATCAAAATTGTTTGATAAAATAATGCATTTGAATTATTAAAAAGTTTAGTTTTTTACTTTTATTACTATATATTTTAGTAACTTAAATAATTAAAAATAAAAAATAAAAATTAATTATTTTTTGGCACATTGTAGACTATACAATTTTTTCCCTATTAATATGAAATTTGCAAAAGTTTGATGGAGTACAATTTTTTTGTTTTTAAAAACGCGTTATTTTTTATTTTTGTTTTTAATATCTTACTATGTATTTTAATACAGAAAATTAAAAAAAATTTAAATTTTGTGCCACAACTTAGAATATTTTTCATTTTTGTTCATGCACTATTCGCAAAATTTAATATATCTAAAATAAGCCTATGTTCGTAGTATAAACAAAAGCGAAAATGATAATATTTTTGAAAAGTATTTTTTATATTTTTTTAAAGAAATATATGAAGTTTCATGCAGTATCAAATTTTTTATTAATGTTTTTAGTACTTCATTTAGTTATCTAATAGATTAAAAAAAATTTGCTATTTCGAACCACAACTTAAAAAAAATGCATTTTACTTACAAGCCAAAATTTGCCAATTTCTATACAATTTACATGCACATAGAACGAAAAATGAGTAACTTATTTTTAATTAAAAGTGAAATGAATTGAATTTTTGAAAAGTTAAATAGACATATTTTTAATTGAATAGCTTAAAAATGCATTTACTTACAAAATGCTGCCTATGACAAAAATTCCACAATATTTTCCATATTAAAACAATTATAATAAATTAAAAAATAATAAATTTTTAATAAAAATGTTAATTTTTTTTTAATTTTGTCCATGTCAGGAATCGAATCCACGATTTTTAATATTACACATTCCATATGTTTATATATATAATGTTAATAAATATATTGTATGGGTTCAATTCCCGACATAACCATCATAAAATTTATATGCATATAAATTGTTGAAAATAATACGCTATAATAAAAAGTATAGATTTCATTTTATTAATTTTGATCATGTCTGGAATTGAACCAATGATATTACACGTTCAATATGTTTATATGTTTAAATAAATTAATAGATATACATATATAAAGGTTTGATTCCAGATACAATCATCATACAAATTATAAGTGTGTAAATTGTTGAAAATATATACTGTTGATGCAATATGGTTTATCTATATATATAAAAATGAATGTGTGTTTGTTTGTATGTTTGCATGTTTGTATGTTTGAACGTTATAGGCTACAAAACTGCTGAACCGATTTTCTTGAAATTTTCACAGCGTATTCCTGTATGTCTGGAATAGGTAATAGGCTACTTTTTATTTTGAAATTTCAAGTGAGCGAGGTGCCACGCCCATATTAAAAAATATTAAATCCGTATATTTGTGATAATATAACAGTTAGAGTCCTCAAATTTTGTCGGAGCCACTTTAGTGTCAATATGATTATTTAGGACAAAAAGTAGGCGGACTAGCATTAGGGGGCGTGGCACCTCCCATATAAATTTAAAACAAAAATTCGTTTATCTTAGAAACAATTACAGTTAGAATCTTAAAATTTTGCACAAATAACTTTAACATCCATGTTAACATTTTGAAAAATAAATTGGCGGACTACCCATGAGGGGAGCGGCACCTCCCTTATAAATTAAATGCAAAAATTCGTTTATCTGGGAAACTAATAGAACTAAATTCTTCAACTTTTGCACTAAGAACTTAAATATTCGTCTGAACATTTTGGATGAAAAAGATCGGACTTCCATCTGGGGGGCTTGGAGCCCCCATATGAATTAAATAGAAAAATTCGTATATCTGAGAAACTATTAGAGCTAGAATCTTCAAATTTTACTTGAAGAAATTTGACATTCATCTGAACAATAAGAGTATAACGGGCGGACTTTCAATGGGGGACTTGGTACCTCCCATATTAATTAAATACAAAATTTCGTTTATCTGGGAAACTAATAGAACTAGATTCTTCAAATTTTGCACAAATTACTTTAATATTCATCTAAACATTTTGGAGAAAAAAGGGCGGGCTTTTATCTTGGGGGCTTGAAACCCCCACATGAATTTAATAGAAAAATTCTTATATCTGAGAAACTATTAGATGTAGAATCTTTAAATATTACATGAAGTACTTTGACATTAATGTGAACATTTAGGGAATAATTGGCGGACTTTAAATGGGGGACTTGGCACTTCCCATATTAATTAAATACAAAAATTCATTTATCTGGGAAACTACTAGAACTAGATTCTTCAAATTTTGCATAAATTACTTCAATATTCAACTGAACATTTTGGGGGAAAAAGAGCTGACTTTCATATAGGGGGCGTGAAGCCCCCATATGAATTAGAAAAAAATCGTATATCTTAGAAACTATTAGAGCTAGAATCTTCAAATTTTACTTGAAAAACTTTGACATTCATCTGAACAATTAGAGTATAACGGGCGGACTTTCAATGGGGAACTTGACAACTCCCATATGACTTAAATATAAAATTTCGTTTATCTGGGAAACTAATAGAACTACATTCTTCAAATTTTGCAGAAATTACTTCAATAATCATCTGAATATTTTGGAGGAAAAATATCGGACTTTCATCTGGGGAGCTTGAAGCCCACACATGAATGAAATAGAATAATTGCATATCTGGAAACTACTAGAGCTAGAATCTTAAAATTTTACATAAAAAACTCTGACATTCACTGAACATTTAGAGAATAACGGGCGAGCTTTCAATTGGGGGCTTGGCACTACATAAATGAATTAAATACAAAATTTCGTATATCTTGGAAACTATTATATTATTCAAATTTTTCATAGCTAGATAGAAATTGGCGAACTTTCAGTAATTTGCTTGGCATCTCTAATATGTAACATATTGTAAATATTGTAAAGAGAACTTTTGCAGTTAGAATCTTCAAAATCGTTAAGTGGGTTTTTTATTTATACTGCTTTTAGGGTAGCAAAGCACACTGGGTAAAGCTAGTTATTAATAAGTAGAGCTGTGATAATGTTCATGATTTATAGTCGAAAGGTTCCAGGTTCAAATCCTGTTTATTGTATAGGATTTTTCAAACTTATTTTTTTGTTTGAACTGCATTTAAATAGTTGAAATTTGTGAAATTGTTTTGTTTGTTCACAATTTTTTCTTGCTTTGTTATTTCGTCGTTTTCTTAATAAATATATTTTTTTAAATTCCAATAGTTTACAATATACGCATAAATAATATTACAGCGATAGAATTTATAGGCAGTAAGTAGAGCTGTGGTAGTGAACATGATTTGTAGAAGAAGGGTTCCTGGTTCAAATCATGTTAATGATATAGATTTTTCATATTTTATTACTTTCATTGCATTTAAAAAAATTGCCACCTTGTTAGTTTTTGTGAAAATAATTAATCACGCATTCCTGTCTAATTCATAAAAATTAATAACGGAATATTAAAAAGTGTCAAATTAATAAAAGAATAAAGAAAGAAAAAATAAAATTATTTGACAATTTTAAATTATTTAAATGCAATGAAAGTAATAAAATACCAGGGTTCCAAATATTCATTCACTTATCACTCACGCTCATGAAAAAAACATATAAATTTTGTTTTGTTATCTTCCATTCGTGTACAAAAACAAACAAAAATAAAACTTTGCTTTATTCATTCTTGCATGATACTATTAGTAATGTTTTTTATTTTCGTACAATATTGAGATAACAAGAAAAACTTTTTTTCATGCACATGGACATTTTTGAGAAATAAACTGTTTGTAAAAATCTCACAACTGAAAGAGCATAAAGTTTTTTTTTGCACTAGCATTCTAAAATGAAATTTAAAATTTGTTTATAGTTCTGTTGATAAATAAATGTAAAATGTCGAGATTGAGAATGTTCGTGTT